TATCCTTAATGTAACAGCATGCACCCTTTAGTGGTAGATAAGGTACAAAGATGTACCTCTGATGGTACTTGCCCAGTGACAAGCTGTTGTACCTCTAAATGTACAATTTTAGGACTTTTTCTGGCAGTTTAGGGCAGTGGTTCTGTTAAAATTTCTGGGCCCCCCTGAACAGCATATTGACCCGGGCCCCCTCGGTAGGTGTCTGCGTCAGTCCCCCTCTCTGATCAGGGCCCTTGGAATCGTCCTAACCTTCCCCCTGTTACGATGCACCTGGTTTAGGGTGTTGTTGGTGTTTACTTTTTGGACCAAGTTGAAAGATCCCACCTCTTTGAAGATACAAGTCTCTATAGGGGCTTTCGCACCGGAAGAAGCTTTTAATAATTCCCATAATTTCATAAATACATGCTTTTTGGCGTGTTCGAATCGCAGGAACTAGGAACGGTTTTAGTTCTAGGAACTCCGTTTGGGGGAACTAAATTAGCTTCTACTTCAGAGTAGGGTCTAAAACAGTTCTATAGGAACCACCAGTGACGTAAGTGAATACTGATTATCCAAACGCATACAAAACACCAGCTAATGGCATTTTTAAAGAACCATGTAAAAATATTTACTCCACGAACACCTGTTGCCTGCAGTATTGTGTTCTTTTCTCAGCCTTGATGATGTAACACTGCAAGTTTTCATAGGAGATTTAGTAGCACACACAGTAGCACACACAGTACAGAACAAGTTGTGGTCCAGATTTTAATGTCTAGTGTTACGAATTTGCTCAAATCCCTAACCCTAGGCAATTCTAATAAGAATGCTTGCCTTAGCAAGTCTCACTACTAAAAATAACATTCAAATGACACCGTTTTCGAATAGTCAAAGTAAACTCAAAAGTACATCTTGAGGTTAATGCTTCACCATACCAACAAATGGAAGAGTTAAATTCAATAACCAAGAATCACTGGTGTTAGACAACCAAGTTTGCATGTTAGAATTGCTACAGCACTGTTCACTTGGCTGTAAAGTTGGTTGAAGGCTCCAGCTCTCTGACGTTGAGTAGAATGTGAGCCGAATGCAAGAGTTGGCCCAGGCCGGGGGGAATGTTTGGGAAGGTAGAGCTCTGGCACTGCTGCCCTGATCACAGGCTCGTGTTTCAGTAGAGATTCTGTGAATAGTGATGATGACGCTTGTACCATATGAAAGTCATCTTGGCCTCATAGCTATTCCATCGACGTGTATTGTGGGGCTTTAAGCTGGCCACTTCCTACTCAAGAGTTTCACTACACCTTGCCTATTAGTGACTATGTAGGCACTAGCTTAAAATGTGTTACGCCTTTTCAAAATTGAGACCCCTCTAAATTGTAAGGAAATTACTTAGCGGTTGTGCCTTTAGTTACTCATTGACTTTGTAACCAACATCCAGTCATACAGTTGAACAAGAGTACAACATACTTCAACAAACTGTCAGTGCCCAAAACTTGTTTCTTATGTTCATTAGCCTCTAAAGTAGTTGGGCAACAGGGATGACACATGATAATGAATGGATTAAAGGTGTACGAAGTGTCATGGTGTGGATGTTTGTTTTTCAGATGGCCGAGGACTTGAACTAGGTGGGTGAAGGGGAATTCAGTAGGACTTTAAATGGAAACTCAACTCTATGAGATACAGGGATGAAACTGAATACTTGTGGATGTGAATAGCTAGAAATGTGGATTGAGAATGGGGTCCATAGCTGCCCTACTTAACTCTGTGTGTGTGTGCTCCTGTGTGTCAGAATCCATGGTGTTCTGTACCCAATTTTTGGCAACCCTGTAAACATGTGCTTTGAAGAGGAGCCCTATAAAAACAACACTAGTGGTCATCAAGGTACATCGTCAGTTTGGCCCACCCAAAGACAAGTTCTGCTGGGAACTTTCATGGGTTATTTTTGTTGCTGTGTTCCTGTTCATCGAGTTTAGATAAATGAGTCCAAGTTGTTGACACAAACATCATGTGCATCAGATGATTGTCAATGTACATCAATTACATCAGTGGTCTAGTCTCGGGTTCACTTATCTGGCCAGATAGAATAACTTTATGATGTCCTCTGTAATGAGCTATGTCAGTCATGCCAATCTTGACCACTGGAGTGGACAAGGCTAGAGGGACTTTGTTCCATATACACCCTCATGATCACTCCAAATAATCCAGAATATTTTAATGAGTTATGTTACATTATAGGTTAGGCATGGGGTCATTCCAAAGGGTGGTACGTGTGAAAGAGAGAGGGGGCTTTCTGTGGGGTCTTTCACCTCTCAATGGTTCCAAAGTGCTTCAAAACTCTTAGACATAAGAACAGAGATGAGGCACATCTTCTTTTAAATTTTACCTGCAATATCAGTACATTACGGAGATACAGATCACAAAGCAGGATGCATATTCTTGTTTTCACGTTCACCTTCATATATCCTTCCTAACATTATGAAAATGTGGTTTAAGTTTGAGTTAGTAACAGCATTTGCATGAACAAGAATACAAAAGAAAAGCAGGAAAATAACTGTTCAAGCTTTCCATCTTTCGATTCTCTCGTAAGATGTTTCTAGCAGTAATGGCCCTCTGCTGGGGCCACTGTCTATCCTTCAACAGTCTGACTAAGATCACAGAACTTCAATATTTTCATAGTGTCCTCTCTTTGATCTCCCTGTGTAAGCTTGAATCCCATGGTGAGAGTCTTGGGGAACACACACAGAGACTCTGCCCTGTGACAACAGAACATTAAAACGTAAGCTCAGGGTTTGGGACCTGGATGGTGACGGGGTGACAGGTGGGAAAACCAGCCTGAAGACACACCGACTCTTGCCAAATTTAGCTACTGGAGGCCAGGAATAAGGAGGTGATGGCACAGAGTGATGTCTCTGTTGCAGTTTGCTGCTGTCACCTCCACGGCTTTGTTGCTTTTGTCTTGGTGGTCCATTTTGCAACATTTTTTGTCACGTGCAAATGGTGGAAGGGTTTGAGATGCATGGTGGCCCAAATGTAGGCTTTAGGTGATGTGAGGAATGTGTACTGCTACCAGTGGCAATTTCACTCAGCAAGATTCACACCTTTGAGTGTCTTAATTGTTTGTCGATGGGATGGAATGCAACGAATTGTGTCAAATGAGTCATTTACTGTATTTTGAAATGACAACTTTTGCTTGGTATTTTTTAAAAACAGAATGCTTGTCCAGTCAACTAAACAAAAACTGAAAATGTACAGTATCTTCCTCAAAGATGGTTGGCACCTTTAGCCTTAAAAGGCTAATTTAAGTATTAACAGTCTGATGCTAAATGGATGCCACATGCATATTGGGAAGAGATTGTGTGAAACAGAAGGTGCTTCTTGCTAATTACTCTAATTTACAGTAATTAGTGAGGTGGGCATATCTCTCCTCCCCCTGGCTTGTTTACTGACGGTCACTAATCGCATGGAAGGAAGAGAATATCTTAAACCTGTCACCTACTGTTTGAAAGACCTGAGATCAAGGTCTTTGATAACATTTGGTACAACCTCTTAACACTGGGTGTGTCCTTAAAGAGACAGTCACCACTGTGTTTGAACTTTACATAAATAATTTTGGGGGCTTTTGTTCTGAAAGGAAATCAGACTTAAATAGTTAACATTGTTAGTTAAATCTAAATAAGTAATACATTAATTTATTATTATTATTTTTAAAATAAGCATTTATTATTTTGGGATGTGTTAATAATTCACGCAAAATGTCACATTCTAAAACATTTTTTTTATTGTTGACATGACGATATAACTCTCAGACTTTCAGATACTCAAACTTTTTTTTTTTCAAATAATGAAATAAATTCAGCTATTGTAAAATTTTCCGTTCTTTTGTTTAGTTGCATCCGATTTTTTCCTTTAGTTTAATTGCACCAATACGTCTTCTTGACATTTTATTACAAATATGACAATAAAAATTTACAATTTATCAGATTTTGTGTCAGTAAATAATATTATATACACATATAATATTTGTTTAAATATTTTAAAATAAAATACATTTGACAAATTTCTCAATGATAATTGATAATGGTAATTATCATTGATAATTGTCATTATCAATGATAAATGCATTGCATCTGGTTGATACATTTTTAATAGGCAATGCATAAAGATTGCAAACCTAATTTTCTCTCCATTCACAATCACCTAAATCATAAACTCTTTACGTCTTAATTCCCTGAGTTCCTGCTATTACTCTCTCAGCATTCATGTGACTTAGTTACTGCTCAAATAATTTAATGCTAATCTGAAGCGTGGCTGTGACAAAAGCTCTGGAATGTGCTTGGTGTGGACAGTTATGAGTCCACCTTGGTGTTTATAGCCAGAGAGATGCAGTTTCCCTCCTAATGCGAGGTGTCGGGACCCCTGTAATACTGCTATCTTAGGTTACACGAGCATGAGGGTGAACTTCACAATAGCCAGTGGGTGCCTTCAGGTTTTGGGGCCTAAAGCCTAAAAATTATTACAGTTATATTTTGACTGAAGTCTAATTCAAAGTCAGTATGAAATTGTTCTAGAAACAGTGTGTGTTCATGCAACCATTTTATTTGGTAAATTGCAACTCAAAAGTAACAATAAAATAACATTTATGGGCTTTAACATATCTGTGGCAGTTTATGTCACAGGATTTGAGTATTATTAAAACAAACAAATTTAAACTATACCATTATAACTGCCTAAATGGATTATTATTAGTCAAGCACAATACATGACACTGTTGTGGAAATGACATTTGTTGATTCAGAAAATGACATAATCCCTCTGTGATGTATGAATGTTGACTGCTGGACAATATTGGAAGACAAAGTTTTAAGTCTGGTCTAAATTTTAAGCCTTATACAGGAACAAAAGTGCAGATAGTGGAAGAAACACTCTTAAATGAGACCTGAATTCAAGATCAACGCCATCTTTGAATTGCAGTTTATCGTAAAGGGCCAGTTCAACCAAAAATTAAAATTCTGTCATCGTTTACTCACCTTCATATTGGTACAGATCTGTAAAATTGGTTAATCTTCAAAACCCAAATTAAGATACATTTCTGTCCAGAAAGTCCAGTTGACCAAAATTAAGGGGGCATTTACTTGACACCATTTTCAACAAAAAATAGAAAACTTTGTATGTGTTTTGGCTGTTCATTTAGGGTTTTGCATTTTGGGGTCTTGAAAATGCAAACTTCCAAGCTTTATAATGGCAGTGAATGGGCGTTGAGATTTTGAAGTCCAATGAAGTGCATCCATCCATCATAAAAAGTACTCCACCCAGCTCCGGAGAGTAAATAAATGCCTCCTGAGGCGAATCGATGCATTTTTGTAAGAAAAATATCCATATTTAAAACTTTATAAACCGAAATCTCTTCCTTTCGTTAACTGCCGTATGCGCGTTCATGAGAGACTGGTGTTCCAGCAGAAAAGCAGTTCTCGAGTTTCATTAAAAATCTCATAATTTGCGTTTCAAAAATAAACCAAAGCTTTATGGGTTTGGATTGACGTGAATGTGAGTAAACAATGACCGAATTTTCATTTTTGAATGAACTGTCCCTTTAAATGTGTAGGTCATATATTACACTACAGCTTGAATTCAGTCCCTTTGGTATGCTGAGGTCTAATAACCCCCATGTCCAAAATGCTAGTTCCCCTCTGGCAAACTCTCAGCTACGCCATCCCCTCATAATTCTCTTTTTGTCAGTACTGCCATTACTGAAAATTTGGCGTGCGTGTGCAACATTATGGACCTTGTCCTATCAGCACTTGCGCCCTCTGCCAAGTCAATCTCCCCAACTGGCCTCGGTCAAACAGAGCAAAAGTGTCTGAAACCAAGTTGCACATTAAAGCACAGAGCTGAACTCTAGAGGCACTACTAAGGTTCCAAGAAGTGAAACAGGAGCTTTTCGCTTTTTCAAAACAACAGTGTACAGACAAAACGGGAATGGAAATGATGTGATTAATGTCCTGAGTAGAACATGCAATGGGTGGACATCGTTTTAGGGGATTTTGAATGCTTTGGCAAAACTACTGTGCATTTCTGACAGCGCCATTTGGATTCTGTAACGCTTCCATTGTTTCTCATTGAATGCCATGCTGCGTGTCTCATCTAAGGGGCTTCCCGACCCGATCCAGACTTCCAAAGCCCCCCTCCTTCCCAGAGAAGTTTTATTATCGTTTCTGAAGAAGTTTGAGAATGTAAACACAATGGGCTACATTCGGTTAGATGAAATTGAATAAGAATGAGACAGTTGGGCTGTTACCAAGCAAATTAAATCAGTATCAAAAAAATTCATCTTTGCAATCCAGACATAAGCTGCACCTGAAGTGGCATTTAGATGTGTTTACACACTGTTTAATGCAGAACATGAATGCATTTAACCTGCAGTTACAAATGCATAATTAATGTTTTGATATATTAAACATAAAACATTGAATACTGATATTTGAAATAATTAAAGAAATGAAAAGATACTTTAAATGTGAAATTAAAACCGCCAGTAGGTGTCAGCGAGTCACTGTTAATAAGTGAGTCATTGCGACTCAACCGAATCATTTAAACAGTTGATTCAATCAGGAACGAAACACTGTCATGTTGCTCAGAGACGCAAAACAGCGCTGTGGCTTTGTTTGGAATTAATTTTGTTGGCAAAATAGTGCAAAAACAGGCAATATGGTGTCTAAAACGTAAGTCTCTTAATAAAACTTCCAGTTTATTGTTGTAAAAAATCAATATCATATTTGTATATGGTCATTTTTGGAGAAAAAAAGGCACTCTTCTGTGTGAACTTGAGTATA